AATCGGCTCCCCTCTTTCGTGTTAATAGAAAATAAACTCAAATGAAGTCACCACCAAAAATATGAACAAGTTTGTTAGTCATAAAAAAAAGTTGGTAAAGTTTCAAAAAGTTAACCGTACATACTTTTCTTTAGTTTTAACTGAAATAAGCTACCGTTCTCCATAAAATGGCAACGACGTTGTATGGCCGTCAGCGCTAATAAAGTAATCTGTAATAAATTTGCTTACCAAAATTAGTAACAGGATATTGTAACTCGTCGTAGATAACCTGTAGATCTCCGCAAATTCTGGTATCCTGATCACGATAACAACAGAGTATACCAGTCACCTTGTATTATATGAATAATTTTAAAATGTTGAGAAAGGGTGAACGCAAACACTTATCCGGTCATAAAGCGAAAAGCTCGGCACAAAGACTGAAGACGTCTGTAATGCTCAGATTGCATCTCAAACCTAAGGAATGCAAATTAACTGTGTACGTGCTACTTGTCAAGGATCTCTTAATCAGAGATGCCCTGTGGGTTTTTTTGACTAATGTTTGAAAGCTCTTGAGTGTTTTCCCTACTTTCGTTTTCAAATTGCTTGTCATGCAACTTCTAATCCCATTGTTAGTTTGCACGGATGATTTTGAACCGGCGATACGGTTCAAAGTTCAAACCATAGGAGTTGGATGCCAGAGGGTGTGGTTGATTAATGCGCGATCCGTGAATTTTAGTAACAATTAACTGAGCCATATCGACAAGCGCCGCGGTGAAACATTTCGCCGCTCATTATAAGGCCCGTTTTCACCTTCATTACAACTTCACGTCAATTTAAGTGTGTCATTAAGAAATGAGTGTTACCGCTGGATTTTGTGCATAGAAGGCTCGATTTATTCCTTTGGGTATTCACTTCGGTATTCACTTCGGGGGGGGGGCACGTAGACCCGCCGAAGCGTAATAATTAAGTTCGGATTAATTCGTTCTGGAAAAGGCGGGGAGGAAAACTCTAAGGAATGAAACAATAGCGCAGTTAAGTGACCTCGAGCGGCCGCGCCTACAAGTGTATCCATTTTGTTTTAACGTGTCAATGAACTGCAAAGCATGATTGAAAACATTCTATGACTTGAAGTTTTTTCGCTCAATGTTCTCGAGTTCAACAATTACCAGCACCTTACAAACGACTCATTAACGACGTGAACAAACCGACAAACAGACCGGCAAACAACAGACGGATCGAAACCGACCAATGACTGTTAACAAACTCTACACGAGTCTTCCAGCCAATCACATCACGGCTAAACAGACCAATCACGTTCAACAGACCAGACTTTATAACATCATCGACTTCACTTGACTCTGAAGATGACTACCGCACAGGTAGTCGAAACGTCAGTCACCAACAACAGTTCTTATCAGAACTACACTCACCCGGACGATCACACTACACGAACTACTGATACTCCTGGGTTCAAACCATTTACTTTACTTTTCTCGAGTTTGATTTGTATTTATTAAAACAGAGCATTTTCATTTCTGAGCTTTAAAAAGAGACCTTGAACGAGCATATTTGATGATTACAGGCCAAAGTTCGCATTCTCCTTCTTACTGTTGTGGTTGTAATTTATGCACAGCCATCTTTAACCGGCGCGTGTGAAGCATGAATTCCAAAGAATGACTATGGGGCGCCAACCAGTCAAGTTTACTTTTTATTTGGTCAGTTCGACTTTTTATACGGTCAACCTTTTTACTTTTTGTATTGTTAACTTGAGTTTTTATAGAGTCAACTTTTTCTTTTAATAGGATCAATTTTTACCTTTTATATGGTCAACTCGAGTTTTTATATGGTCAACTTTTAACGTTCTATATGGTCACGTCGATTTTTTATAGGGTCAACTTTTTGCTTTTTATACCGGTCAGTGTTAAGGCAAACTGCACATATCAGATTGCATACTGCAGACCAGGGGTCAAGTGCAGACTGAGGATAACATGCTGACTGAAGACTATAGACCAGGGGTAAAAGGCAGATTCGGTTCAAAAACAACCTGCTTCCCCGGAAAAACTTCAAGAGTGACCTGGGATCGTGGCCGCGTAAGTTGTGAGAGGCTGAAAATAATCGTCACGGTGATCAATGTTTCGTACTTCGCGTCCCGGTTTTGGCGTTGACATATTGTTGTAAGGTAAGAACACTTAGAAACGTAACTGTTTTCATATGCAGTTTACAAAGTTTTCAAAGGGAATGTTGACTGGTTTGGCGCCCTATAACGTAGACTTTGGGTCCCTGAAAAGGTACCCCGTTCGAAAGCTCTCTGCAACCCGCTGGGATTCTGCCGGAATCCTCCTGGCATCTACGTGGGATTCTCATAAGGATCTTACCAGGATACTGATAGGAAACTTAGCGTTCCTGAAAAGGTACCCCGTAACACTGAGATAATCCTGTCATGCTAAGTTGGGTGGTGCTCTTTGGACTCCGCTGGTATCCCACCGGAATCCCCCCGGCAACACTCCGGGATTCTCTTGTCTAACAATTAAGAGCTTCTTTGGTGGGTGATCAGCTCCTTTATTCTCCTGACCTCAATGTTTTGATTCAGGAGTGATATGGTAAGGAGAAATTAGATGTGAGACACTCTTAGGGGTTAAAGGATTAGTGGCACATCGGTGCACGCCAGGGAATGTGAGGCCTTGAACAGTACAAGCGAGCGAGAGGTCTGCAAGGGCCTTGAGGGGTCTGGCACTAATAATGAGGAAATTGTTAGTGCCAGATCCCAGTAAACCTCTCCCCAACTCGTCCCAAATCGGCGGGCATGTAAAACACTAATAACGGGGGCCCGCTGGAACGCTATCAATACTTCCACAAAGGAACGAATACATGGAGACATTCAATGGCGTCGAAAGTTATTTTTAATGGTCCCTGATACATAAACTACACAAACTACATGGGATCACTTGTTTTC